CTTACAGTGCTATTTGGCAATGACCTTTGGCGAGTGACATCCAAGTTGCTTAAGGGACTATTACAGGTCGGTAGAAGGGGTGAAGGGAGAGGGGTGGGAACGGAAGACAAAGAGTTAAACAAAGGTTGGGATATCTGAGCATGAACATAGTTTGGGGATCTGTCAAGACTCTGGTAGTGGCCGAAATGTAACGGGAAACCCTCCGATTGCAAAACAACTCTCTTACACTCAGTATTCAAAATTGACGGGCAACATAGTGAGTGCACAGCTACATTAACGGAAGCAGTGTTCTCAACATCGTAATATGCTCGCATGACAGCCAGTATCCAGTTAACTCATGCATGACAAATGCCAGGCGTGAGACTGATCTGTTTGGATCCCGCTGGCGAAAAGCGCTCATTTAATCGGGCTTTTTGAGCAAACTGGTATTCATGGTGCAAAATGCAGGTATTCCTGCGGTCGCTCCATCTGACGAGATTTGTTACGATGCAGGAGCTGCCTCGAGTGACGCGTGCAAAACAGCAAGTTCGCATAGATTCAGCGGATCATACATTGTGTAATGAATTTATCACCTGCCTCATTAAATAAGTTGGGGCTTGTGATGCGTTCAAATAAACCCTCTGGTTTTGTTCCGACTCGCACTTCAAACGGAGGGTTAAACGAAATTTTAAAATCACTAAGACAGGGAGGAATTCGGTGCCTAAAAAAACAACGTCTATGTCCACCCATCCGCATTCAACCGCCCAACAAAAGTTCGACACATACGAGGATGATAATAAATGAGTAAGAATTTACTGCCAACCTCAAGTTTACATTCCGATAGGATTGCAAGCATTCACCTTGGCATAATGCTTGATGTTGACCCCACCAGGTATCGTTTGGTCCCGGGGCACGATTCATTGCCCGTTTCACGTAGCCGAAAAATGGTGGCCTTTGACGGCATACACCGGTGCAACGCCACCAATGCTTTTGGTAGTTTTCCACTTCTCGATGAAATGTGTGAAAAACCTGTGAAAAATTCCAAAAAATTACATTCAGAAATAAAATTGACTACAACAGCAGAAACAACAATAACAAGGAATATATGTATCATACCGCAGAACAGAATGTTGACAAATCAGTGCATCAGTGGAAATACCCATCATCGTAAAGGTAAACCTATTCTCTATAAATTGTGCCAATTCAAAGTTGCCCTAACCACGACGGAAATTTGACAGCGATTAGCGAATTTCACTGAGAACTATCGTCACTACCTACCTCAATGAGTGTGAGTTGCCTAAGGGTAAAAGTATAACTACGTTCCATATACTTTACTCAAATCATGGTATATCCTGGACCATTTGGTCTTACCGTGAGTTTTTCTCTTGAAATTTAATCAACAGCTAAGTGTTCAACATTGCACACAACAGAACGGCTGGATATTTTTCCTGGTCGCCCAGTAGAAAAGCTGGAAAATGATAGTTCAAAAATGAATCTATGCCGTCACTCTGTCGATGACTGCATCGTTACAAGCAATATCAAGAAAGAGGGAGAATAACTACTCCGACGGCCAAACATAACCCCCACTAACCTCAAGCTAACTCGTTACAACGAACAAGACGACCACAGTTTTTCTGTATAAGCATCACGCAACGATCTGATTGATAGATTAGATGTCTTCCGAAAAACCAGGCAGTTATGGTGATATTTAGATTTCACGAGCGATAAAATACTAGTCTGTTTCGCATACTTTTATAAAGTGTGTGAAAGAAGACTCCTAAAACGGTGTAACTGATCTCTTAAGAGGTAATAGGGTCGCGCTCATCGCCAGACATTCCAGTGCAACACAGAAAGTAGAAAAACCAATAACTGACCCAAACACAACAGCTTTCCTCAAGCTGTAATACAAATTCGATTACGTCGGTAGACAAATTAGTCTGTGTATTACGCAATCAACCCATTCACTGTCTTCACTACCACCTGGATACCAACATCGGTGAAAGAACCATTGTCCTTTCCTCCATNTAGGTTCGGATGCTCAGCCATCGACATAGGTGGGACAAGGAGGAATTTACGTCAACGAATGGCCGAATACATAGTGAAGTGGCTTAAGAAAGGAATGAACGACAATTTAGAAACTTTTACGTTATCCACTGAAAAAAAGGAAACAGATCTTCATTTACGCAACATCTATTTAGAAAGAAGCACTGTTATTCCAGCCCACTCACTTCGAATCAGTTGACAGAACAAAAAGCTACCTAAAATGTGCTAGGTTCCGGCCATTCAGTCACAATCCCGATCTATACAAACGTGATTGATCCCCATGCCCTTCCGTGTTTCGTACGTTTTGTTGATGCTGGCCAGTAATAATCTTGTCTTCGTACGTTCACATTACCAAGAGACTGCACCTAGATGCGGTGTGATGGCTCGTGTATCTCTATGACCCGGTAAGCTACACATGACAGTTTTTATCAAACCAAAAGATCTTATAATGCCCGGAAGGTCAGAAGATAGAGCACTGACACAGTTCGGTCTCCTGGTTCAAGTAAATGGACCTCCACTTCACTTTACCTGTTATAACTGTTCGCCCCTGGTTTGTGAAGAACACAAGTCACCGAACTGTAACGCAAAAACTGTAATTGTATCAACACGATTTACAGGATCAACGGGTGAAATGAAGATCAATGATCATTAGGCCTGTCAGTACTCATATGGTCGATAACGAGGCCGATGCGAGGGAGCAGCGGCATGTTTAGAGCTCTTATCACATTACTCGGTGCCTTGCGGTCAACTTCTTGTAAGAACTTAAGACTCGCACGAGAACCTTAACCGTTCTCCTGCTTAGTGGTTGAACTCCATCAAACCCAAATGCATACACAAACCGAACATATATTCCATATTGCATCGGTCGCCGCGCAGGATAATCGGAACCGCGCTGACCACGCATGGAGCAGGGTGGGCAGTGATATGTGGGCTAGTGCTCAGACATCCTTGCCTCTGTTTAACTCTGCCATTCGCACCCAACCTTCATTCTTTGCTCCTTCTACCGACCCGTAACTTTCCATCAGGCAACTTGTTTGCAACTCACCAAAGCTCGTTGTAGTTTACCACCAAATGCATTGCAGATTCCGAAGCCTTGCCAGTCACTGAATTTAGAAGATTCCAACATGAAGACTCCAAAGCAAATAAGTAAAGATGCTTTTCTGATACGTACAATAGACTTTGAGGATTGATGTCTGTTGCGCATAGGAGACGCGAATCTAGAATCCGGATTTGCACTTGAGGTACTTCTTTAGTACATCAGGCGACGGCGAAGCCCGTTATTTAGGTCAGCAAAAAGTAGGTCTTGTACACAGTAACAGAACTGAAACAGCGCTAATCGATTAGAACAGGAACAGTCGCTTGTATGCGATGCGGCCCCGGCGGTCAATAGGGCACCCGGAAAAGAAGCAACAGCATGCGCACCCAACAATTACAGTTCTGGTACACAATAAGAGGATTTCTACGACAAACTAAGCGAACCCAGTCGAATGAGTCAAGGCTCCAGAATGTTTGCGCTTTCAGGTGATTTCAACGAGCAGGTTGAAAAACTGAGCGCTTCGGAAGCTTGCCTACATGGTAGTTGTGCTCTACCTTGCGAACGAACAGATGATGGCGATCAACTTCT